TTTTATCTTCAATATTATCTACAGGTCTGTGTTATTTTGATGTTGTAGAGTGCAAGATGTACTCATTGTGCAATGTATAAAAAATATTTTCGAATATATCAAGTTTTATACCGTGAAAGAAAGTTAATAATTATATTCCCTGATCAATAGCCAAAATAAGGTGAAAATGAACAATCAGTCTCTCACACGCGTTTTTCTTTTGTGTTTGTCATTTTTGATTGTATTGGAAACATTCACCTGGCCTGTGTTATCGATATCGAGAGGGAATTCGGGTGCCGAGGATGAAGAATTATATAAGAGAGTGGCGTGGGAGAAATCGATGTGAAAGGGGTGGCCGAGCTCCATCTAATTACAGGCTCTTTCGTTTGGGGAGTGGATGGAGTGGAGACGTTTATTCATTCTTTGGGCCTTGGAAAGAGGGCGAGGAACAGAAGTGAAGGGGAGCTCCTTCCCAGGAATAATTAATGTATCTCATTTTACTTTTACAGCCTCCTCGGAGCAAAAGTAAGAGGCAGAGAAATAGAGGGTGAGTTTATTGCGAGGTAAGAAATTGCAAAATGGCCGTCCCGAGTGTGAGTTATGGAAAATTAAAAAGAGAGGGTGAAGGAGGCGAAGGAGAGAAAATTAAAGTTTTCCTTGGAGGCAGGGGGTAAAGAATAGGGGCGGCTCTCTTTGCTCGCAACTTTCATTACTCCCCCTCTCTGAGCGAGGCCACCCTCTTTCTCTTTCCCCGGAGGAAACTTTTTAATGGAACCACCCTCGCGCCCCTTCACTTTTCTTCGTCATGCTCCCCTAAAGTTTTACTGTAAGGGGAAGAATCGGCAAGATAATGGCACCCCCTCCTTTTCTTTCTTCGCCATCCCCCGCCGCGCAACGCTGCCATTGTCTTCCCCGCCGAGGGGTGGTCTCAACCCTTAATTCTCATTAAATTTTCTGATGAACTCTCCTCCACCCTCCGAAACGGGTTTCAAGAATGTCGCACAACTTTTTACTCCGTATAAAATTTATTTGCCTAAAAACAGGCCTACGACCGGGAGAAGTTATAACAGCTCCTAACATCTTGCCGGACTTTTAAGTCATAATTCAATTATCCCAAAGTTATGATAAGATATTATTACAATTAATAAATTTAGAAGTGTCCAGCGTCAAATGGCACTAAAAATCATCAAAAGAAGTACCGTCCTACCAAGCGGCCGTGCTTCTTGCTGCGATCATCGTGATTGACTTGAAGGTCAGGCTGAGGAACTTACTTAAACCAAACATCTAAAAAATTAAGATAAAATATATAAAAACCCCTTTTAAACAGGCTTTTTATGAACTTTGTACATTTTGTACGACAGAATTGTACAATTGAAACTAGCCAAAACCTGTAATTTGGTGAAAACTATTATATTTTCACATTTCAATTGAAATTTCAATTAATTCGAACCATTGTTTTTCTTATTTTATTATATACAATGAAAGATTCGTGTATACTCGTACTCGCTCTAAATACGTTTTAAATATAGTTAATTAAATTCTTTGAATAACAGAAACTAAAATTTTGTGCCTGCATGATTTCTTTGTCTTGGAATTGCTTTATGTAATTTATTAATAACAAAAGAATTTCGTAATAAAATTTAAAACTATACTGAATTACATATGTGAATATATTTAATTAATATAATATCAACGAACGAAATTGGAATTTAAACTTTCTAAAAAAAGGCGTATTTTGTGTAGATATTGTGACAAACTTTTTGAAAAAATGGCAAATTGCAATACGCGATAAAAAAAAAAGCTAGAATTGACAGAATGATTCGCATAAAAGATAAAAGGTGTTCGGATGAGGGTTATGATATTTAAGGAGGCGTCTGTTTCAACTTTAAAAGGGTTCGGGGGCACAAATGGTATTTGGAGGTCTATGTGGATAGTAAAGTTCGAAAAGAAGTGGGGGCTTAGTCATTGGTTCCAGAGATTTAGGACTGGAGAAACTGGATTATTCGAATCAGGAAGACTAGGCCGACCTAAGTGTTCTAGGGAACGATAGGCTATAATTCCTATGCCTTTTTCAAGGCTTACTTAAAATTAAAAATAGTTAATGTGATGTTATAAGTGGTAAACTCTCAAATAGAATTAATTTTAAGTTAAAGTATTCATTTTAAATTAAAAGAAATTAACATAAACTCAATAAGGGTTAATTCTAAATTTAAGTAAGTTTCAAAAGTTAATTTGGTGTAAACAAGGGTTAATTTTGAATTGAAAAAGGTTAATTTGACAAAAAAAAGTTTGGAAAACTCACATACAAACCAACCAAATGGTGAAAGGTGCCCGATAGAAAAAATCAGCATGGCTTTAGATAATAAATTGTTAAATTCACTAGTTTCGTGATCTGCTTGACCAATACAATCTTAAATTAATTAAGGTTTTTAGTTGAGATAAAAAAGACTGTGTCACGAGTGAGATTCGAACCCACGACCTATGGCTAGATACGCCGCTGCTCTACCACTTGAGCTATCGTGACCTCGATCCACTCGGACACCAACTTCCCATCTCAACCCCACCTTTTGAATTTTCCCTCCTTTTTGCTATATTTAAAAACCTTAATTAATTGAATAATAAATTGTGTTGAATTTAAAACGTGTCCCTTTTGGAGGTAAAAAGGGTTCATTTGAAATTACAAATGGTTATTTGGAAATTAGAAAGAGTTAATTTGAAGGAAACGTTTAACAACATAAAACCCAACGGAATGACGAACGGCAAAATCAGCAAGGCTAGGCGGACATGCGGCATTCAGAAAAGTTAAACCATATACAATCCCTAAATTTATTTAATGCTTTAAAAAACAGATTATTTGTGAATCAAAAAGAGTTTATTTCAAATTTAAACGTGTTAATTTTATAGCTAAAAAAGATTAATTTGATGTAAAAAATGGTTATTTTAAAATTATAAAGAGTTAATTCGAATTTAAAACGTGTTATTGGTTAATTGGTAGTTAAAAATGGTTATTTTGGACTTAAAAATAGTTGTCTAGAAATCAGAAAGAGTTTATTTGATAGGGAAAATGGTTAACACGAATATGAAGTGATAATTTTATAGTTAAAATGGGTTTGATTAAAAAAAGTATAAAATAGGTTAATATGGTGAAAAATTGTCAATTTTGAATTTAAAAAGGTTAATTTGACGGAAAAGCTATATATAAAAACTAACATTAAAACCGACCAAACGACTGCCTACTAGAAAAAAATCAACAAGACCAAGGCCAAGAAAGTCGCTTATCTGGGTGATTGAGGAAAAGTTAAGCTACAATTACTATTGTGTTTTAATTCTTAAAAAAGGGTTATTTGGAAATTAAAAAGAGTTATTTTGAATTTAATATATGTTAATTTTAACTTAAAAAATGTTATTCGAAATTAATAAGAATGCATTTCTTGAAGAAAATGTTTAATTTTATTTAGAAAAGCTACATCCAAAAGGTTTGCAAAATATGACTAAAAATAACGACCAAATGACGAAAGGGTTATAGAAAAAAAAATCAGAAAGACTAGGGTACTTAGATAGTGGGCTGAAGTGCTACAATTCTTACGTTTATTTAATGCTTTAAAAAAGGGTTATTTGGAAAGTTAAAAAAAATCATTTGACTTTAAAACGTGTTAATTTTATAGTTAAAATTGGATAATTTGATTTTAAAAAGGGTTAATTTGAAGGTAAAAATATGTTAAATTAGTGAAAAGTCAATTTTCAATTAAAAAGGTTAATTTGAGGAAAAAAGCGATATGTAAAATCTAACATAAAAACCGACCAAATGACGAAAAGTGCCTGCTAGAAAAAAAAAATTAAAAAATAAAAAAAAAAATAAAACAAGACCAAGGCCAATAAGGTCGCCTACCTCGGTGATGGGGAAATAGTTAAGCTACAATTCCTACGTTCATTTAATGCTTAAAAAAAGGGTTATTTTGAAATTAAAAAGAGTTAATTTGGATTTATTTCGAGTTAATTTTATAGTTAAAATAGATTACTTTGATTTTAAAAAAGTAATTTCATGTTAAAAAGTGTTAATATGATGATAAAGTGTAAATTTTGAATTTAAAAAGGTTAATTTGACGAAAAAAAGGTATATGTAAAAACTAACATAAAAACCGACCAAATGATGAAAAGTGCCTGCTAGAAAAAAAAAGCATCAAGACCAAGGCCAAGAAGGTCGCCTACCTGGGTAATTGGAAAAAAGTTAAGCTAAATTCCTACGTTTTTTAATGCTTTAAAAAAGGGTTATTTTCGAAGGAAAAAGAGTTTCATTTGAAATTAAAACGTATTAATTTTATAGTTATAATTTGATAATTTGATTTTAAAAAGGGTTAATTTGAAGGTAAAAATAGTCAATGTGACGGAAAAATGCTATACTTAAAACTAACATAAAAATTGACCAAATGATGAAAAGTACTTGCTACAAAAAATCATTAAGACCAAGGCCAATCAAGTCGCCTACCTGGGTGATGGGGAGAAACTTAAGCTACAATTTCTTATGTTAGAAATTATAAATGATGGGGTGAGTGTGGAGTTCAATCCTTTTTAAAAGATGGTTCCTTATGTTTATTTAATGTTTCAAAAAATAGGGTTATTTGGAAAGTACTAAGAGTTCATTTGAATTTAAAACTTGCTAATTTTATAATTAAAATGGGATAATTTCATTTTAAAAATGGTTAATTTGAAGTTAAACAGGGTTAATTTTGTGAAAAAGTGTTAATTTGACGGAATAGAAGATTATAGCTTTTTTTAAGGAAGATTTTGGTTGATGGTTGTTATGATAAGATCAAAATCAACGTTTTTTATTTAGAGGTGGCTGATGTTGAATTTGATTGATGGAGTGGAGGATTTGGTGGGAAGAAATAGTTGCAAAACTAAAAGAATAGGTGAATTATTTGTGGATTTAGAATTTTTCTTTTCAAATAAGTGGGTTTTTCAACATTGAGAAATTCGCCAAAAAATTTTTTTTTTTTTTTATTTATACCAATTGGAATTTCCTTGTTTTTGGGCATTAAAATTGGATTGGTAGACTTTGGAGGAAGAGTGTTTTCGTCGGCCGCCAGAGTTTTCTGTAACAGAAAAAATTATATTAAGAATTTTTAAACTTTTAATACATATATGTATAAACAGGACGTTAATAAGTAGTGGAAGGATCTAATCGAGTATACGCCGCCTAAGAGGGGGCCCAGTTAGTGCGAAGTGCGCCGGCCAAATAAACATCACAAGACGGACCCACATCGGATCATTAGTTAAGCAAATGGCACGATTTCGCTCCGGCGATCCAATTTAGCAAATTCGCGCCCACCAGCCCGGACATTAATCAGATATAATCAGACGCAAGGCACGATCCGGCCGTAGAACAACACCGGAAAAGCGATCTTGGCATATTTTGAGACACAACTTTGGAAATGAACGTCGTAACGGATACACAATTGGCAATTTATTCGTAATTTTGAGACCAATTAAACGATCCATTCCATAAAATTAAATCTCGATACATGTTCAACATGTCTACACGTATAAATAAAGCGATGAAAAATAAAATAAATATATTTATGTTTCCGAATGGGAATCGAACCTAGAACCTCGGGATCAGTACACCATGCCAGTTTGCACTGTAAACGCCTACTTCGAATTTATTATTTTAAAAAGAGTGTATTTAAACAAACAGAAGAAATTTAAGAGGAAAAACACGGAAAATCCAGAAGCTCCCCGAGGTTTAAAATTCTTCTTCTAAAAGTTCTTCACTCTCCCATGAACGTCGTAACGTCCCAGTTTAAGTCATAGTCTCCAATTTGAACTCCGGTACTAACAGTAAAAACCTATTTTGAGTAATTTGTAGCTTGGCGATGTTCGATCGAGACGTCAACCCCCATGAGGGGCAAGCATACAATCGGTCTGACCAGTACTTTATACTGAGGAGGAGTTCGTGTTCTGGGGGCAGTTTAAAATCCATGCGTAATCGTAACAAGTCAAGAATTATAGTTTTGCTTTTTTCACTCTATCCCTTACATGGGGGGGGGCGAACGTTTGTTAATTACCCCAAGGTAGTTAACAGTAGCAGACCGAAGACTCGACCCCCGAAGTCCACATGGCACCACTTACATATACTTTATAAGTCTGCTGACTATCTAGTCTACAGTGTAGATGTCATCTTTCTGGTCATCGGCTTACAAGCCTGTCTGCAATATTTAAGTCTTGTCATTAAAATTTATTATTAAAAATGATAAAGAAAGAACAGGTCTTATTATAAATCCTTGTTGGACACCAGCAGAAACTTCGAGGCAATTTTAAATCAAGTTAGACTCGAAATTTAGTATTATATAAATATAAGTGGATTATTTTAATGAGGGAAAGCTGAAGTGTTGATGACTCTAGCAGGCTAAACTTGGATGCCCATCAAAACTAAAGCAGTGTGCTTATGTTAGAACCTGAACTGCTAATGTAGATGTAGATGTAATATTCGGGGTGAAATATACTGCGCCATTTAAGAACTACCCTGCCCCTCTGTCTAAAGCACATCGGTATGTCCTATATCATCAAGAAACTTGATTAATAGCTTGAAACACTTCTATGTTCACATTGTACATCCCAAAACAGTTCCTCCTGCGGGCAAGTGTAGCAGCGCAGTTTCTTAATAGGTGTGTTGGTGTCTCCTCTACTTCTTTGCAGAATCTGCATCTGCCGTCTTGGATTATTCAAATCTTCTTTAAGTGTCCATTTAGCTTGCAGTGTCCTCTTAAAAATCCTATTAGGATTCGCAGTTTGTTCCTGCTTCCTTTGACACATTCTGTAATTTCTTTTCTTCCGAAATTTTTTAGGAGATTCTTGGATTGCCTGTGCCCAATAAGTGAATTCCATTGTTCCTTCATGTTCTTTTTTGTCCTTCTGTCTTAGATACTCATTGATAGAGTGGGTTCCTATGTCAGAGAAGGGTTCAGGTCCTGTCAGCGGTGTAGCAGCTCCTTGCAAGGGTGTCCACTTTCTCATTGCCTTCTACTCCCATGTGTCATGGGACCCAGCAGAGGCTGACTTTGTTCTGCGAACCTAATATGTTTAATTTTGTTTTGCAGTTCAGCACCATCTTTGAACTAATGATATTTGAGGTTAGTGCATTGATGGCTGCTTGACTATCTGACATGTGTTCTTGTTTTTGTACCCTTTTTCAAATTGAGTTGGGTACATCTCTCGATTGCGTGAATCTCAGCTTGGAAGATGGTGTATTTTCCCATGGGTTCTGAGCATTTGGTTCCAGGACCGAACTCCTGCCCCTGTACCATCTTGTGTTCTAGATCTGTGTACCAAAGGTTGGTGCCATTCTTAAAGAAGGTGTTTCCCTCTCGTTCTTTTTTGGTACCTAGATTTATTTGGAAGTTTTGATTAAATTCAAACATACTATTCATGTCATATCTTGGAGCCATGAGGATCGGATGGTCTTTCATTATTTTGTTGCATTTTAGTTTTATTCCTGTTGGAGGTTTCTCTGTGATAATAATAATTATGGTTTTCTGTGTTGTCCTCGTTACCATGTGGTATAAAGGGATTTATCCCAATACTTTTTTTTGGGGGGGACATGTTCTCATTGCTCCCGTTATGCAAATGCATGCAACTCTCTGTATTTTTGTGAGTTCTTTTCTTTTAGTTACTTGTTTATCGGCCCAGGTTACAGCTGCTAATATTGGATGATCTGATGGACTGCCAAATGACTGTTGACCACTAGCTAACAGTATACTTTCGAAACTTAAAGTGGTAAACAGTCGAATATGACTGTAGCTGTTTGAGTGTATAATTTGGCAAGCTTCAGAATGAGAATAACTTTAGAAATTTTCCAAACAGGAGGGGGGAAAGAAACCTAGTGTGAGACATTTGATGATTTCTACAGATTTTCGTGATAATTTTTTTTTTGTCGGAATGTTTTGGATAGTTACTGGCACGCAATGAGAATCCAATCCGATTACACGACATTTGAAAAATGGCAAAAGGAGGGAAAACTCGTAAGGTGGGGTTGAGATGGGGAATTGATGTCCGAGTGGATCGAGGTCACGATAGCTCAGGTGGTAGAGCAGCGGCGTATCTAGCCGAAGGTCGTGGGTTCGAATCCCTCTCGTGCCATTAACTTTTTTTCATCTCAACTAAATAACCTTAATTAATTGTCATGTATTAATTGGTCAAGCGGACCACGAAAGTAGTGAATTAAGTTTTGTATAGTGTCCATGCCTAGTCAAAATTAAATAAAATCATAGGTTTTTAAGTCTCAAACTTTATTATTGAGAAAGATAGACGACCAATTGTTTAAAAGTTAATGTTTTTTACATTAGCTAGATCGAAAGTCTAACATTTTGTCAAAATTATATTTTAAATTTTCACGTTAATGATGATATGCGTTTGATGTTAGATTTAATTTTACCTTCCTTTGACAAAGATGCCAAAGGCAGTTTCTTAATTTGCCGCGTGAAGTGAGATGCGATATAAAATTTACGCTTTCTGTTTAATAAGTTTGCCTTCAGTAATGAAGGTGTCTATAAGAAGTTTTCAAAAATAAGTTCAAGCAAGGCTTCGCGTTTTATTCTGTAAATTTCCAGTTATCCTGTCCATTTCCATGGTTTTTGAGCCTCCTCGATAAAGTCCAATGTTATGAAAGTAAATATAAAATGTCCTTTTTGCATATTTAAAGCCCCTTGAGTGCGCGAGGTGTGCTGTTTATTATTGAAAAGTCCGGATGAAGTTGCCGGGTCGCCTCTACAGCCCCGAACTGTACTTTTGAGACCATTTTAAAATTCATATTTCAATTTGAGTTGGAATTAGCCCGCCGGGTGGGGGCTTGGGGTTGCTGGCTTCCCCGATAAGGGGGATAAAAACTAATGTCGCCCCATCCCCGGGCGAAGTTGGGAGGGCGACATCTTTTTAAGTATTCATTTCGGTAAGATAGAGGACCATTGAGGATTATGGCCAGGGGGTACTTAGCCCCCCACGAGTTTCGCCACCCACTTTCGTTGATACTTCCAAGAACACCTTGGTCCTCGCAGGGAGACACATCAAGTTTTAACCAAGTATACTTTGTAATGGAGCCAAGGGATAATGCCCCTAACCACAGCCTGAACATCATTATTATTGAAGTCACTATATTTTAAAATCGACTTACTAATTTATAAGCTAGCGCTGTTTAATCAACAAAAAAAAGATTAATGTAACAAAACATTTTTTTTTTTTACTTAACTCCCTGAGAAAAAGATAATGTGTAATTTGAGATGGATCTACAAAATCAAAGCACGCCAAGTCCTGCGATATTTCTCGAACTTATCACTCCATCATTTAGCCGAAGCCCCACTGCAAAAAAAGGTAAATGTCGAAAGCTGGCCGGATAGACGAAACAAGCGACGGACCAGTTCTGGTATCTAATCCTTTTTAAAAAGATAGTTCCTACTCACAGTAAGTTGTACTGCAACGCTCCTGATTTCGAGCCCTTTAGCTCATCATCAGGTTGAAGGATTTCTACAAAGACGTGTCTCGACATGAATTGCCAGAGTGAACCCGCTGATACCTCCGCCAACGCGACATCCCAATTAGCAGCTGATTTTTTTTAATGGCGCTCGATTTGAACGTGCGAAACGTGGAAATTAAAACACGAATAAATATTATAATAGTAAATACTTAATATTATTAAATTATTATAAAAATAATAACAATTAAAATAATTAGTTTAATTATTTGGACGTTTGATATTATTTATGTAAATATTCAAAATGGGAGGTAGATCAAAATATGTTATATTATTAATGCATTTATCACCATGTTCAATTATAATTTTTTTAATTTCAAATTTCTCAAACCAATCTAGTTCTTTTCCTTTGTCGAAACTATGTAACACTCTTGTACTTAAATTTGAATTGAAATTATATTTTGTTTCTTTTAGATAGTCCTTAAATTCCGAAAATTTGCTCGATTTAGACAAGTGTTCTTTTACTCTCGTTTTTATTTCTCTACCGCTTTGTCCTATTTAACTAGCAACATATCAATAAATATTTCTTTATGCCCGTTGTTTTTTTGCTAATGTTTTAATAGTTTCTAA